TTGCGCATGTGAACTAGTATCATGGTAAGCGGGGGAGGGTTGCAGGGAAATCCCAAGTTTGCTTCTCCCTTTTTTGTGAACCTAACAAAAGGGCCAGAGCGGTGGTCCTCAAAGGGGGTGCTGTTGCCCCCCAGAGGGCAGGTGGCACGGTCTGCAGACAGTGTTGGTTGTCGTATCTGGTTGGGGGAGGGGAGGTTACTACAGGCATCTGGTGGATGAAGGTCAGGGATGCTGCTAAAAAACCCTACAAGCACAGGACAGCCCACCATAAAGAATGACCTGTCCCCACATGTCAATCGTGCTGAGGCAGAAGGAGCCTGGAGACCACAGGGTCCAACCTCGCACCGTGAGACTCAAGTGGTTCCATGAGAGGCTTGGACAGTTGGGTCGAGGGTTCATTGAACACATGCTCCCTCTTATGCCAGACACTGACTCATGACGGAATTCAGAAGATTTCCACTTTCTTGCACAAACAGATTTTGTACAGGCTGTGGCACATGAGACGGCATTGTCCCAATCCCTGAGAAAGCGGAGGTGCTGCTCAGCAGTTTCAGCATTGGGGTTCAGAGTCCCCCCAAACCTGGTGTGACCTATGAATATTCCTTCTTAAAAATGCACAGAGACACATGCATCAATGTGTCTAAAATACCCCCAGGACCCCTGAAACCTAGCCACAGAAGGCCTGACTCCAGGTCAAAAAAGTGGGGAGTTCTTCCTTTAGAAAGAGGAGAGAGTGACCTGGCTGATGGTTGGCTTGTCAAACCACAGGAATGACGCCTACCTAATAAGCACTATTACTCACTTCTCCCGCTGTCCACATTTTGGAAAAATTCTGTGCCAAAAATACAGGGGATGATGGGACAGAGATGGAGAGGTGATAGGAACCCAGCAGATCCTGTCAACAACAGGTTGTGTCTCTCTGACTGCCTCTTCCATCACAGCATCTGGACACCAAGGTTAATGACAAATCCTAATTACTTTTTTGGGGCCCATCTGTTTATGGATGGTGACCTCGAATGGAAGCCACCCGGCTGCCTGTCCCATCACAGGCAGGATCTGTGAGCAAATGCCTTTGAGAGGCTCCGGGCAGAAAGAAATATGATAAGGATGCAGAGGGTCCTACCACTGGGGTGGTGGTGGGGGGAGCTTTTTAAACCAAAAATTGCAGACACAAATTTTCCCAAGCAAATGTTTCATTCCAGCCTTAATACACATAAAAGTTCTGCGGACACCTCACGGGTGTGTGTCCAACTCACAAAGCCCCTTTGCACACTCAGGAGAAGTCCTCAGTGTCCATGCAGCCTGGCACCTCTGGCCACAGCTGATTGGATGAGGGGTGGACACTCAGAGTGAGCTGAACCAATCAGAGTTCCTTCCCTGGGAATTTGGAGTTAGGACTAAGAAAAGCTATAACCACTGGGAAGGTATCGCATGGCTGTATTTTCTACTATGTGAGATGAGAAGCAGGCCTTTCATGAGGCAAGGCTGTGTTCCTGTCCTCAAATCCCTAGAAATAGCTCTGAATCCTTACATTGAAATTCCCCTTGTTGTATAATGTGGTAGAGTCTCCCAAAGTGGCCGCCATTAATGCCTTCCTATGGAGGCATAAGCCATTCTTCCACAAGCAGATGGGACCCATTTCCCTTCTCCAATAGAATATGGTTGACTAATACCCTACTAGTTTCAGACCCGGCTGTTAAGAACCCTGGATCTCTTGGGATGCACCTCCCATGTAAAGGAGCTCAGGCCAGACTACCAAACAAGGAACGAAAGGGACCACATAAAGCATACGTGGGCATGGACATGGGCGTGAAGCTTCCTTGGACCTTCCAGCCCAGCCCAGCCACCAGCCAAACGCAGCCGTGTCAGCAATCCCAGCCCATGCCACGTGGAGCAGAAAACCTGCCCAGCAGAGCCCTGCCTGAATTCTTCAACTACAGAATTGTCAAAAATAACATACGGTTGTTGCTTTAAGTCACTAAAAGTTAGGGTGCTTTGTTAATGTAGCCATAGATAACTTGAACCACCTTGCTGGAATTAATTTCCCTTCTGGCAAGCAAGCCAAGTGTCCTAACGAATATAGGAAGCCTGCAGCAGGCAGGGCGTGCAAAATAAACTCTGTCGTCCCACTTAGCCGTTGAATAAGGGGTGTGGGGGCACGATGAGGTGGTTATGAGTTTCTCCTCTTCTGGCCATCATCTCCCCTCTGGGGGCGCTGAAGACAGCAGAGCTGGGTTGTGGGCTGAGTGGTGACCAAAGGTTTAGACACCCCATTGGGCAGAAGCAAAGAGGCTTCTGGAAGAGAACCAGCTCTGACCTGCTGGGGTGCCTGACTCTAGCCAAGCTGCCCCAGGAAGACAGCACCTCCTGGGAGGCGCGAGGGCAAGTCTCCCTGGAACTCTCAGAGCCACAGGAGCAGGGGGACCAGCTATGGATGCACAAACGGGTCAATAAGATCGAAAGGCAAAGGGCCAGCATAGGAGGAGCTGCAGCTTCTAGCTCCCAACGTGTCCCCTTCAGACCCGAGCCTTTCAAACGTCCATGCACCGCAGTCTAGAAATTTTGGGTCAGAGCTTCGGGAAAGACACCTAACAGCTAAGAGCATACTTCTGAGAGCCAGCCCGGCAGGACGTACATCTTCACTCGACGTGACCTTAGGGAGGGACCTGACCTCACTAGCAACATGGGGATAATAATAATAATAGCATCTACTTGACAGGGTTGAGAAAAGCAGTTCAAGGGTCAATCCATATGACGTTCTGTTATTATTGTTGTTGTTTTAAATATACATACATACATATATATAGAGAGAGAGATCTATATATATCTCTATGTATAGGTATATATAGATATATATGTATTTGTTGATTTCAGAGAGGAAGGGAGAGGGAGATAGGAACATCAGTGATGAGAGAGAATCGTTGGTCGGCTGCCTCCTGCACGCCCATTAGGGATAGAGCCCGCAACCTGGGCATGTGCCCTGACCGGGAATGGAACCATAACCTCCTAGTTCATAGGTCAATGCTCAACCACAAGGCCACACTGGCCGGGCCATATGACGTTTTGAGGCTCAGGGTTTGGCACATAGTAAGTGCTCAATAAATGGTACCCAGTATGATGATGATTTGTTATGTGTATCAACAGTGACTTCACACCTCTCTAGATGGCTTTCACTCAGGTAACAGGAAGAGGACTCAGCACCAGAGAGAGGGGTGTCTGGACCCAGAATGGGGCACAGAAACAGCTGCTATTTTAACAGACTTAGAAGGAGTTCACTGGCTCCAGAGGAGCAGGTAACCCCGGGGTCCAGAGGACCCCAGCAAACACCCCACACGTAGTCTGATCAGGAGGGTCCTGAGAGTCAGACTGACCACTTCACTGTGGGCGGAGAAGCTGAGGCTCCCAAAGCTTACTCACTGGGAGCCTCAGGTTCTGAAGTGGGGGCCCCAGTGGCACCCCGGTTTCAGCCTCGCTCCGCATCTGATGTGTCGCTTTGCTTTTATCTGGCTCCTCTCTGATCCTCTCCCAGGGAAGCGTGGGAAGAACTGGAACGAGGGCAGGTTTGAGCTCTTCAGACACAAATAGCACTGGGTTTGCCTCTGGCGATGCTTCTAACGAGGCCTTGCTGCTGGAAGCATGTGGGGAAACAGCCACAGCCAGAATCCCTGGCCCAACTGCTGCCCCGACCCAGGCGGAAAACACAGACACAGCGTCTCAGCAAAGGGAGGATCAGCCACCGACAGCTCCACCCAGCTGCCCTGGGAGCCCCTCCGATCTCCCTCCACGGAAGCCGGCTGCTGGAATTCCAGGGCTTGCCAAGCAGGAGTCTCGGGGCATAAATTTTAGAACAGAGGCCTCGGCCAGTGACCAAACCTGAGCTTCCACAGCCAGTTCATTGATAAACGACTGCCGCCATTTAATGAGCTCTGCCCCAGGCACCGCATGAGTCCGTCGCATGTTATACCCTCGCTGAGAAGGATGTGCTCATGTTATCCCCGCTTTGCAGAGGAGGAAACCGAGGCACAAGGAGGTAAATGGCTTCCTCAAGGTCACACAGGGGTCAGTGGTAGGCCTGGGATTTGGACCCAGGGCTTTGACCTTAGGGCCCCAGTGGGTAACCACTGTGCTAGTCCATCCTGTCACCAGGTGAGTCAAGGCAAATCACCAGACATGGAGGACAGGCAGGCAACCCATCTACCCTGTCCTAGGATGTTCAAGCTAACACCTTCTCAGGCCACAGAGACACTCCCCACACCTTAACTTGACCCCCAGAGTCAGACCAATGGCCATGTTCATATGAGATGGACATCACAGCTGATTGGACGAGAGAGAGCACCTGACATAACGCAGCCAATCAGAGTGCCTTCCCTGGGAATTTGGACCCTGAACTACAGGATTCTAAACCCTCCAGCCTCTTGGCCACAGGAGATGGCGAGGGAAATTAGGAGGCAGCACTGTCTGTCATATTCGCTCATTCCCTCAACAAATATTTTCGCGCACACCGATTATGTACCGGGCTCTGGAGATTCAGTGGTGAACAAAACAGGCCAGCATCTCTACCCTTGGGAACCTTATCTAACAGAGAGGGATAAACAATCGTCAAAGTAAATATGTAAATATAAAATATGTTAGCTGGTGCTAAGTGCTATTCAGGAAAAAGGCTGAGAGGAATTCTTGCTTCCAAGGGTTTATCCTTAACACACATATCCCTCTTCCTACAAGGCACAGGCCCACAATCTCCTTCCTCCCCATCAGAAAACCCCCGTTCCCCTTCTGGAAAAAGCCCCATCCCCAGGTAACCGCCACCCACCCCCTCCTCCTCCAGCTCTCCAACCTCATGTGACAAAGATTCCAGTTCTGCCTGGGTGGGTGGCCTGGTGGGTCACAGACGGCAAGGCCCAAAGGCAGCCCCCTTCCAGCCCAGCGCCCCGCCCTGAGCAGCGCAGCCTCCAGGCCCCGCCTCCAGGACCGTGGAATGGGTGGGAAGTGTCAGGCCTCACCCGATCCGCGCCTGCTCCATCTCTTCCATTTTCTCGGCCCGGGCGATCACCCTGTTGATAATTTCCTTCTCCTCATCTGTCAGCTCTTCCTGCTTCCTCTGTCTGTCGGGCTGACCACCGGGATGGACGGACCAGCCCGCCTGGAGCCTGAAAGGTAATTTGGGAAGGCGTGAGGCTGGACAGGAAACCCAGTGGGCAGTATGGAGTTGTGGTTAGACCCCAGGCCCTGGGGTGGGGTAAACCCCCAGTTCACACCTTTGCCAGGAAACTCCCCGACTGGGAGACTCTGGGCTAAAGAATCATATCTCTCAGAGCCTCAGTTTGCTCATCAGTACAATGGGTTTAGTTTCATTATGTGCTTAGCACACACTTGCAGGAAGCTCACAGAAGCCTGGAGGACAAGGGTGTTCTCAGGAGAAGATTCCAGAGCAGCAGACCAACAACAGAAAGTGCACAGGAGCCAATTCTGGGAGGGCAGTCAGAAGCCCTGGGCTCCAGGTAGACCCCAGCCCCTGCCTGGCACAAAGATGTTGGGTTCGAGCTACAGATTTAAAAAATAACGCATTTAAAGTCGTTGCCACCGCGGCTTATAAAAATCCCCTGATTTCCAGCCTCAGAAGCTCCTGGAGCATTTTTAGTTCCATCCTGTGTTCTTCTTGGCTTTTCTAAACAAGCAAACATGGATATCGCACCTCCTGGGCACCACACTGCCTCACTTAATCCTCTCATCATCCCTACAAGACTGGGACTCTCACACATTTACTGGCGAGGAGACTCAGATATGGAGAAATTAGACCATTTCCCCCACATTGCGTGGCCAGGAAGTGGCGGAGGTGAGATTCGAACCTGGGCCGCCTGTGCACTTAACCTCCACAGTACGAAGAGGACTGAGTGCCCGCCCGCGTGGCCCCAGTGACGGTGCAGAGGGGGATCAGAGGCTGCTGATGGAGAGCCGAGGTCTATGGCACATTATGATCATCTCCACGGATGACACGGCCCACGCCCCAGGGCACGGGGCGCATCACCCGAGTGGAATGCAGGGTTAAACACTAGAAATGCTGGTCCCTGTTAGGGGGGGAAATAGTAACTAGAATCCTCCAGAGCCAGCACGCCATTAGCTGACCGCCTCTATTACTTCCACTGCTCTACTCTCACCAGCAGCCATGAAATTGCCTTTTGATACTCAATGTTAAAAATCAAAAGCCCCATCTCCTCACCCTGCCCCCCCCACCCCCGCCCTCTGCCATCCTCCTATCTTAGCTGGTTTGCACTAAAGAGGAGAGAAGGAAGAGTTTGAAAGCGAAGGGAAGCAGGTGTCCGGGGCCAAGTCTTGTTGGGAGAAAGGGGAGGAGGGCGAAATTCTGGTGGAAACACACCTTGCCTCGGAGCCAGGGCCTCTGGGGATGAACAAATAAATGCTAAACAGGCTCACCCCCCCCTGCTCAATACCCTCCAGGGGCTTCTCACTGACTTTTAAAAAAAACCCACAATGCATAGAGGTTGCACAATATTGTGATAATGCTGAAGGCCACTGAATTGTACACTGTAAAAGGGTTGGGTTTATGTCTGTGAATTTTACCTTGGTAGAAATAAAAGTCAGTCTTCTTGCCCATCTGCAAAGTCCCACCTGATCTGTCCTTAACCTGCCTCCGTCCTCATCACCCCCTTACTGCACCCCGGCATCGCTGGCCTCCCTGCTCAATCTCAAACACTGAAACCTTTTTTTTGCCTCAGGGCCTTTGCACTTGCTGTCCCCTTTCCAGGAAGACTTATCCCCCCAGATATCCCCATGGGTGGCTACTTCTCATCATTTAAATCTGGTTCAAAAGTCAACTCAGAAAGGCCTCCCTTGATCCCTCATTGTCCAGGTTCATTTTCTTCATTGCACCCATTGCTAATTGAAAGTATCTTTTTAAAGAATTATGTTGTAAAGAAAAAGGAGGAGGAGGAGGAGGAGGAGGAGGAGGAGGGGGAGGAGGAGGGGGAGGAGGAGGAGGGGGAGGAGGAGGAAGAAGAGGAGGAGGAGGAGGAGGAGGAGGAGGAGGAGGAGGAGGAGGAGGAGGAAGAGAGGAATCTTTGTCAATCTACAAAAGCCTGTGTGTCTCTGATGACTCTCTTACACCTCTGCCATGACATGACAGCAAGCCCAGGACAGAATGTTGGAGGATGAGAGGCCTGTGGAGCAGAGCTGAGTCATTCCAGCCACAGCCATCCTAGATCAGCCAACCCTTTGCCACATAAGCGAGTCCAGCCAAGATCAGCAGAGCCACCAGCTGAGCCCAGATTCCTGGAAACAAAGAATTGTTCTACACCACAGAGTTTTAAGATGGTTTGTTACACAGCAAAAGCTAGCTGATACAGTGCCCACTTCGACAACAACAAACAAGTGAGAAGCTTGCTAGACTCCCTCCATTTACTTTGCAGTTTGGTATTACTTTAAATTACAGTCGCACAAGGTTCACCATGATGTATTTAATGCTGTCAGCTACTAAAGGTCCTTCTCCAGGGCCACTCTCACCTGTCTTATCTATTTAGCTTCGGAATAAAATATTAACCAAAGAGTTTCACTGCTAACAAAAAGCCTACAGATCACTGCAACTGACCTGCTCATTTTCCAGACGCCTGCCCCTCAGAGGAGGGAAGGGGGTGGCCGAGAAACATGTGTGGAGCAAGTACGCTCAGGGGCTCAAGAAACCAGCATCCTGGGCCTGCTTGATCGCTACCCGAAGGTACCTGCTCAGGTGCATCAAGAGAGGGTCAGAAGGAACCCTCCACCAGTGGCCCCAAATACAAAAGGAATGAGTCCTGACTCCAGGTGGAAGCCCCTCACAGATGTTTCTTCCTAAATATCTGCCAAGGGCAGACTCCCACCTCCTGTCTGCCTCCCGCCTTAATTCTTTATTTCATGCACACAATAGTCACGTAATAAATACCCACCAGATGTCTCTTTTAACAAATTATAACTCCCAAAAGGAGTGCAATGATGGAAGTGCTGTTGGGGCTCCGAGGCTCTGAAGCATTACACGGTGGGGCTGTGCAGAAAATTAATCCTTTTTCTTTCCTTTATTCTTCTCACCCCTTCCCTTCCCCGAGGATGCCGGCACAGGCAGGTGTCAGCAGGAAGTCGCTTTACAGCTCAGTGAATGAGATTTTAATGAATCCTGGAGGAAAGGATGGGGAAGGAAGGGCAGCCACACCACAAAATGTTTTTCACATGCCCTGGAGGTATACAGGTCCTTTCAGATGAAATTTGCCCCCATCAGACTAAAGGGGGTGCAGAAGGAAGCCAGGGTCCCCCCGAACAATCTAAGGGAATCTAAGGCTCCTGCTAATCTGGTAAGCCAGACTGAGCTCCACTGGGTTCTTCTAAAATTCTATGCTCTCTCACTTTTGGACTTTGCACATGATGTTCCTCTACCTGGAACTCATCTGTCTCTACTTTCACTTGGGCCCACCTTACATTTCACTTCCCCCATCATGACGCCCAAGACTGTGCTAGATGCCCCTCCTGTGCTTGCTCAGCCCACCGTGACTGCACATGGGGGTATATTTGTTGGGGACTGGCTGTTTATTTGTTTGTAGACCCCGCTAGACACATACTCATACTTTGGCTATCCCTGTATTCCCGGTGCTTAAGACAGTGAGTCCTTGATATGTAGTAGACATTCAGTGAATATTTGATAACGAAGGAAGGAAGGGAGAAAGGGGGAAGAAAGGAGGGGAGGAGGGAGTGAAAGAGTATGGTCATAGACTCTACCTTTCAACTCTTGTATTCTGGAAGCTTCTATGAGCCTCCAGACCCTCTGGAGTCATGAGCTTCTCTCTTGTGATATTCATATCTATAATCTGACAATGTCTCAACATCTCTCCCTGGCATGTCTGAATAATACACTCACCATACTCATAAGAAGCAGATCTAGTCTGGCCAGAGTCTTATCGGCCAACAACAGAAAGTGTAGAACATTCCAACGGCCTTTAGCCATCAACTTGTCCAAAGCTCCCATTTGACAGATGGACAAACTGAGACACAGAACCGGGGAAGTCATTTCCTGGGGTCACCTGATCGATGTTAAGAAAACCTTTAGAGGATTTTGGGCCCAGTGATGTGGTCCTTTGGGTCCAAAAGAGCTGAACAAGTTATGCAAGTGATATATATACACACTGTATATATACAAATATACACACAAGGTAAATATACGTATGGATACGTATGTATAATGTATATACACAACACACAGGCTAAGGCAACGTTGTGATTCACACTCCCCCTGCCACACACACACCCCGCCCCCGCTGTGCTCAGTGTGCTTCACAGTTCACGGAGCCCTCCGGTGCACCTCACTGGATGCTACGTCCACCTGGTGAGGGAGGAAGGACAGGGTTGCCCTGCCTGTCCTGCAGGGGAGACAGCCAGGGCTCGGGAGGTGAAAGGCATGTCCACGGCCCCACCGACGTCGAGTCCCAGAGCAGGACTCACTGGGTCTTCTGATGCCAGACGCCGTGCTCTGCCTCTGGGTCTGTGCTAACTCCCCACCGTGGGGAGGACAGACGCCTTCCCTTCCCGTGGGTTCTCAGCGCGCTCCCAGCCACCCGCGCCCTGCTGCTCTGCAGCCGGCTGCTCACTGATTGGACCCGGCATCCCACCGGTCATGCCTGTTTGGGAAATGAGTCTCATTGAAATGACAAAGGTTGTGAGCAGAGGAGGACCTCCGCGCGAAGGGCAGCTCACCGGGAAATCTGGCGACCTCCCCTGAGGGGGCAGGGACGGCATGCATAGCGCGTGACTTCCCGCGAGCTCCGTCCTGCTCATCACCTTTTATTAATGGAAGCAGTTGTTTCAGTTAATATTTTCTTTATGTCGGAACAGAGCCCCCAGGCAAAGGCTGTGGAAATAGGGCACTGAGTGGTCACCAAACTTGTTGAAACGCCACAAGAATGAAATTGAGGCCTCCCCTAGGGAACCTGTCCGTCCTTTCATCAACCTACTTTCTGAAATTTCATAATTCTTTTTCTCAAAAGGGTGGTTTTTTTTTTTTCAAACCACTTAAATTTCTTTTTTAGATATATAAAATGTGCTAGTTCCTTTTCCGACCACCTGTCTTGTAGGGGCAAGCCACTTAGATCAGAAAAGATATGCTAGCCCTGGCTGGTTGCTCAGTGGTTAGAGTGTCAGCCCAGAGTGTTGGCCCGTGGACTGAAGGGTCTTGGATGCGATTCTAGTCAAGGGCATGTACCGAGGTTGCAGGTTCAATCCCTGGCCCTGGTCCGGCGTGTGCATGAGGCAACCAATCGATGTGTCCCTCTCACATCAATGTTTCTCTCTCTCTGTCTCTCCCCCACTCTCTCTCTAAAAATCAATGGAAAAATATCCTTAAGTGAAGATTAACAAACCAACACACAAAGAGAGATATAATCCAGTTGGTTGAGAAATAAAATAGTAGCATAGAATACTCACTGTTCTTTATCACTGGAGGAAGGCAGAGAAAGGAGAGAAAGAAAGAACAAAGTCAGGAAAGAAATCTCATCATGAGAGCAGCACTGTGTGGATGCAACACCAGGTGGTTTAAATGACAAGGACCTGCTTCCATTTTCTCCCCCAAATCATCGTGATCGGATTGCGGCTCATCCAAAACAAGGTCACTGCAGGGTGGGCTTGTAAAAGCCCCAGCTGGGATTAAAATGACCAATCAGTTCAGCTTATTGATGAACCGAGCTGATCATTTAGGTATTTAAATAATGGGCTTGGGGTCCTAAAGAGAAATCACGTAGTGACATGGCCGACATCATCCTTGGCTCTTGTTGTTCCGAACACTTTGAGGAGGGCCACGAGCCCTGAGCAGGAACCGGTTCCTCCCGAAGCAGAGCTTTCAGTGGCCCAGGCTGAGGGAGGAGACCAGCAGCCCCATCTATCAGGTGTGCAACCCTACACAGACACCTCCCCTATGTCCTCTCTTTGTGCCTCAGTTTCCCCCTCTGGTCTCTGGCACTCTCTCGCTGGCAGACTTCAAAGCTATAGAGCAGCGTGACCTTTTCAGCATTTCTCCCCAAGTTTTCCCAACACAAAGAGCTAAACTAGCCCAGCTGGTGTGGCTCAGTGGTTGAGCATTGACCCATGAACCAGGAGGTCACGGTTTGACTCCTGGTCGGGGCACATGCCCGAGTTGTGGGCTGGATACCCAGGGTGGGGCATGCAGGAGGCAGCCAATCAATGATTCTCTCTCATCATTGATGTTTCTATCTCTCCCTCTCACCTCCTCTCTGAAATCAATGAAAAATATATATATATATATATATATATATATATATATATATATATATTTTTTTTTTTTTTTTTTTTTTTTTAAAGAGTTAAACCACTGCCCGCCCTCACCAGACGCAGGTTCCTTTGCCTCTTTCAAACACTCTCACGTGTTTCAAACACCTTAGACTCAAGGAGGCTGAGAGAGGAAGGCATCAGAGAATCACAAAAGCAGTGAGCGTGTCTGGCTAGCCAGCAGTTAATGAAGACTGGCCGTCTTAATTTCCCGGAGAAAGACATCGCAAGCACCCGCATCACCGCTGCAGCCGACGAGAGAGCATGCGTGATGACTGCAATCCACCCATTAGCATGTGTGGGAAAACAATTTTTTAAAAAAATATATTTTATTGATTTTTTGCCAGAGAGGAAGGGAGAGGGATAGAGAGTTAGAAACATCGATGAGAGAGAAACATCGATCAGCTGCCTCCTGCACACTCCCCACTGGGGATGTGCCCGCAACCAAGGTACAAGCCCTTGACTGGAATCGAACCCGGGACCCTTGAGTCCGCAGGCTGATGCTCTATCCACTGAGCCAAACCGGTTAGGGCAGGAAAAAACAATTTTAATATCCCAAGGACATGCAGGAGCGAGCCGGCCGGCCATGTGCACGGAGAATGCCAAGCTGTTTCCCGGCAGCCCAGGCGCCCTGCTAATGAAACTGCATCCAGGCTGTCGGGATCACTCTCATCTCAGCGTAAAGCAAATTGTCTGGCCTTGTACCGACGGAAGTAAACTCTCAGATGCATGGGATTTTAATTAACTGACGTTTCAGAAATAAAAGAAATGTTACCCCATCCACCCTTCGGGCAACTGTTTATCTTCCAGACACGCCGTTCGGCGGATAGAATATTTTCTGCAAAATAAGTCCGGGCCCAAGGGGGCATCATGGGAAGGGCTGGGAGAGTAGGTGTATTTCTGGTGGACGTTTAGAATGACATACCCGGCCTTGGCCCGGTAGCTCAGTTGATTCGAGCATTGCCCAGATATGCAAAGGTTGCGGGTTGGATCCCCCGGTCAGGGCACATGCAAGAATCAACCAATGAACGCATACACGGTGGAAACGTAAGTGAAACAACAAATCGATGTCTCTCTCCCTCCCTCTCTCCCTCTCTGTAAAAAAATCATTTTTAAAAAAACTAAAACAATTCTACATATATATTTTTAAAAAGCAGGAAAATCAGCGGGCAAGTTCCCATGACAAAGCTCCCACCGGGTTCCTTTGCCCCCGCCCAGGAGAGACTCCAGGTCTTTGCTTGCTATTCCTGTCCTCCCTGGAGAGCGCAAATCCCAGGCCCGCACCGACCCCAAACCAGCCCCTCCCAAGACGACCCGGGACTTACTTGGACTGAAGGGGCCGGTCGCTGGGACACACCCAGCGGCTGGAGCTGCTGCTGACCACGGTGTCGGTCATGGCAGATGTCCGGTGCGCCTGGAACACAGTCACCACAGAGGCCGTCACCCAGAGCTTCAGCCGCGTCTCCATCCCCAAGGCCCTCCTGCTCCACGCCCAGCACTCGGGGACACAGAGAGGACGGGACCTCACCCAGCTTGTCCTCTTCCCTGATGGGAGCCTCAGGCCCCAGAGGGAAGCTCCTGCTGGAGGTCCCAGCTCCCTCCTGCAGGAATGGATCAGAGCTGAAGATCCTGCCCTTAACTCCACATTCTTCTCACTCACCGAGTCAAGGTCACGTGCCCAGCAAGGGTAGGGGCAGTGTTCCCAGGGGCCCCCCAATTTCCCTGAAGCTCTGGTTACAGCACAGCCTTGTTCCCGGAGGAGCTGAACAGGTGAGAAGTTGGGAGGGGACAGAGAAGGCCCCTGTGCTAGATGGGCCCGCATTTGGCTTATGCTCTGCTGTCATTGAATGAAATTCTTAGTAATTTGGGGCATGGGGCCTTGCATGTCCACTTTGCAGCCAGTGCTGAGGATCACCTATAGTCGATGCTCAATAAACCCTCAGTACGTCGCAGAGCTCAGCGAGTACAGTGGGTACTCAATCCATCCTCCGGTAAGTGGCAGGGCCAGTCCTGGCTCCTGCTCTGCCCACCTCCACCGCTTGGCGCTAACCTTGACACCAACCTGCATCTTAAACTGCCTCAGAGGCCCCATCCCACACCCCAAAAAGCCAGAGTCAAAGCCCCCCTTCTTCCCCCTTTCCATTTTGTTCTGCCTACTTCTCCTTCAGTGCTGTTTGCTGAGGAACCCTGCTTCCATCCCAGAATCTCAGCAGGTTTTAGCTGAACTGAAAACAACTCTTGAAACACATTTAACTCCCAGTCACAGCAGGTATCGCAGCTCCACTCAGCGGGGGCGGGCTGGGCCAGCTTTAGGTGGGGCTTGGGGTGCTGCTGGGAACCAGTGTGAGCTCAGCGGTCTGCGTGGAGTTCAATGCCACAGTCAGCCTCGCCCCCCCCCACCCCCACCCCACAGTCTTGGAATTAAACCAGATGCTTCGCAGAACAGGCAGCTGCCAGCTGGACGGTGCGCACGCACTTCCATCTCGGTCTCTGTCCCTGTCCCTCCCTCCCTCCCCTGAGCCCAGCCCATCACTGCTCAGTGAGGGATCTGGGAAAACTCACTCAGACTATCTGACGGGGTGGGGGGTGAGCTTACACAAAGGGCCTCAAATGGGGGTGGTTGCGGGTCCACAACAGGATCCAGGCTGAAAGCAGGCTTTGCTTGGCCCATGCAGTGTTTTTTAAAAGTGAAGTTAAGCCAATGCTTTAAAAAGCACAGGTTCTAACTGAAAAATACAGATTGCCAGCTTCTCTGGAGAAACGGGAAGAATCAAAAAGTATTTATAACCCTAGTCGGTTGCTCAGTGGTTAGAGCACCGGCCCTCGGACTGAAGGGTTGAGGGTGCGATTCCGGACAAGGGCTCCTACCTTGGTTGCAGGCTCGATCCCTGGCCCCAGTTGGGGCAGGTGCAGAAGGCAACCAATCAATGTGTCTCCCTCACATAGATGCTTCTCTCTATATATCTCTCCTCCCTTCCACTCTCTCTAAAAATCAATGGAAAAAATATCCTTGGGTGAGGATTAACCAAAAAACCATTTTTTTAATAGAACATCTACTACTAGATGCCAGACACTATTCTAGGCACTGGGGATACAGCATTAAAACAAACATCTGTTACCTTGTTACTCAGCCTTCCAGCAGGAAGACAGACAACAACCAAACAGGTCAAATATAAGACGTACCAGCCGATGATGTGCACTTTAAAGATAAATAAAACAGGGAAAAGGGACTGGTGATGGAGGGGGATGACTGACTTTAAATAGGTGGTCAATAGGGCTCTCTGAGGTGGAGCATTCCAGGCAGCGGGGAAGCAAGTGCAAAGGCCCTGGGGTGGGCACGTGCTCCGTAAGCTGGAAGCGCCCTCTTCCCATTGGTGTTGTTAAGCTCAAAGCACAGAAGCCTGGGGCTGATCCTGGTGACCTTTGCCACCACGGCCACCACGTGGGAAAGACTGGCCAAAGGATGGAAGTAGAGCTGAGAGATGGAGGGAGACTGGTGCCTGATGATGAGCTGGAATGCTGGATCTAGCCTTGCCTGAATCTATTAGGGCCTTCTTGGATACCATGAGCCAGTATATTCCTTCCCCGCCCCCTCCCTCCTTAAGCCAAATTTAAATTGAATTTCTGCATCGCAACCCTCCTGAACTCTCTGTGTGTCTCCATCGATCAGTTACCTTGGATCTAACTTCCACCAGGATTGGTTGAGGTCTGGAAAAAAGTACACCAGTCTCCAGCCACTCCCTGTAGCCCCTCCTGCCACCTCAAAGGCACAGCCACCCAAGCCCGGGCCTTGCAGGAGGACAGGAGTCACTTGTGAAAAATCCACACCGAGGCCTGCTGAGACCCTGCACTGACTATTAAAATTCAGCGACAATAAGCAGCACTAATTAAAAGCAAAACTAAATACTTAATAAGACAAATGAGGTGGCAGCATTTAAAGTCAGGATGAGAGAGCTGGCAGTAATTAAAAATAAAGATTAATTTCTCTGCCTTCTCTAAAAAAAATGTGTGTGTGTGCGCGCATGTGTGTGTCCAGAAAAGGCTTTGTTTTGTTAATGTACAAAATGCCATGGGAACAAACAGGTGAAGGGAATGGTTCTGCCTAGGGGAGGGGTCAGGGGAGTCTTCCCAGATGAAGGAAATTGGGGCTGGCTCTTGAAGGATGAGCTGGAGTGCGCAAGACATGAAGGATGGAGGAAAGGAAGAGGGGAACTGAGGAGGCAAGGCTCAGAGGCGTCAGTGGACAGGAATGTTTGGGGAGCAGAGAAACCTATGAAAATGGAGCCTGGGGTGATGGAATGGCAGGGAGGAGGGGGAAACAGGACTGAAAATAGAGAGGGGGGGAGCCAGCGATGAACTCGTTACTGCGGCTCAACCACCACAGTGCGTAGCGTACGAATTCATCGCTGGCCCCCCTCTCTCTCTTTTCAGCACTTTCCACGCAGACAATCCCTCCTTCCACTTAAAGATCCGAAGCCAAGACCACATGCTTTTAGCAGTCGGTTCAGCAGGGTGGCTTAGGGGACGGGTTTGGGGGTCAAGCCATTCAGCCTGACAAGTATATGCACCTCCCTGACCTCATCTGTAGAGTGGGGACAACAATAGGGTCCGTGTCAAAATAGAATTCCTGTGAGGATGGAGTAAGATAGTGTACAGGAAGTCCCGGATCCAGGGCCTGGCACAAAACACCCCTGGTCAAGTGGAAGCTATCATTGATTTGTGTTATGATTAATCATTCCTTCTTCCCCTGGATGATGGAGCCCTCCAAGCCCCGAGTCTACAAACCCAAATGCCACACTAGCAGCCGCAGGGGCGGACGCTGTTAACAGCCCAGCCTCCGGGGCTCCCTGCACAGCCCAGCCAATTACCTGATTCCTTGATAAAGCAGAAACTTGCCTTTGTTGTGCTGTTAACCGAGCTTATCTTGGCCTCAGCCACGGCCCGGCGAGGAGGGAGAAGAGGAAAGCTCAGGACGGGTTTCTGCATTAGTGCGTGCGTGCACAGACACACGGCCCCAAACTGGGAAATGTGATTAGGCAGGTCTGCGTATTAAAACACGTCGTTTCGCTTAATGGCCTCTGGCTGCCACTGAGGCCCAGGTTGCAATGAAACTCATTCGGGTTAAAATTCAGCTGGAATGGACTCACCTACAGCCCTAAGTCTCATCATGCCATGGAGACCCCAAGTTTCATCCTCATCCTTCCCTTAAGGACAAAATACAGACAGTCCCCAACTTACAATGGTTTGACTTATGATTTTTTTTTTTATTTTATGACTAGAGGGGGGTTGTCCCTCAGCCCGGCCTGCACCCTCTGTAATCTGGGACCCCTTGGGGGATGTCTGACTGCCAGTTTAGGCCCGATCGCTGTGGGCAGTTGGACATCCCTCTTGCAATCTGGGACTGCTGGCTCCTAACTGCTCGCCTGCCTGCTGGCCTGATCACCCCTAACTGCCTCTGCCTTGGCCCCGCCACCATGGCTGTGTACAGAAGGACGTCCGGTCTAATTAGCATATTACCCTTTTTTTAGTATAAACGGTTCCAAAGCGATACAATACTAAGTTATATGAAACCAATGCTTTATTATAAAACAGGCTTTGTTTAGATGATTTTGCCCAACCGGAGGCTAGTATAAGTGTCTTGAGCACATTCAAGGTGGGCTAGGCTAAGCTATGACGTTTGGTCATGGGTACCAAATGCATTTTCAATGTACAATATTTCCATATAAATCTCTGTTTATTGGGGGGAAGTAACCCCATTATTACATCAAGGAGCATCTGTATTCGGAGCAGAGAGTGGCACTTATTCCTTTTTTTAAATGACAGCAGTCCCCATCCTCTCATCTGAGGAGCATTCCCATTTCACAGATGAGAAAACTGAGGCCCTGGGGTTTGTCAAGATCACACTGGGAGCAGGTGGCCTATTCAAGGACTCAGACCTGAGTCGTGTATCAATGAGCCTTCCGACCACCCTTCTCTATTGATTGTCAGTATTACAAACAATATAATCTTTGGTTAAGCATATTAATGTGCTGTTTTTACATGGCAAATACCATTGTACGGGGGCAGCATCAAATGGTCCAACCTAATAATAAAAATAGCTTTGTTGGGTATCTTCCATTCACTCCTCCAGATCCACTCACCCTCCACCCTGCTCTGTGCCCTGGGAGGCTGCCCTGCGTGGACCGTATCAGCAGCAACCTTGCCCTCTGGCCTCCAGTTGGGTTTATCTAACAAAAGACACCAGCAGAAGACCGGAGGGGGTGAGAAGAGAGACGCACCGGGGTTTTTACCCCCTGGACCCCTCCCACCAGACACCACGGCCTCTGTTGAAGGTCACAGCTCTTGTCGGGAGGACGGTGCCATAGAGCCCTGTCTCTTCTGGTCCATAACTGTCCCGCGTCTGCCCCTCCGGCC